TCAGCCTTACTTATACAAGAAGTACCTTCTAGAAAACCTGATCATTTCACCACTAATTGGTTATAAGCGTTCTCTTGCCCACTGCTGGCAGCTGGAAACCCACTTGTAATTTTTATGACTGTTGCTGTAATTAAATACCATTTACTTTTTCTTAGGCTTAAAAATGCAGGTCCCACTGACTTTTTCTTTGAAGGAAATCGAAGTTTGTGCAAGAGGGAATTACTTACAATAATTTCCCATATCTGGGATATGTTACTTTACTTGTAAGTAAATGAATAGTATCCACTCAGATATATCTCTTCAAACTTTCCCCCGGCTTCTCTAACAGTAAATATGAAGAAATGAAAAAGCAGTGCTTTCATGCTGAGTGTAGCATTACCATATCGCCTCACCCACCTTTTCCTAAGAGTAGTCTGGTGAACCACTTCAACGTTTCATGAGGTCTTAGGAAATCAGTCTAGCTAAGAAATGCCACGAGGGTGGGAAGTGTCCAGGGCTGTCTTATTCACCTTTGTTTTGAGACAGTTAAATGGTGCCCAGCACCCAGGAGGAGGTCAGTAAATACTTGTTGAATGAGTGATTGAGTGTTGTGTTATGGGCTTCTGGGGTCTGAACTATATCCAAGAAAACTAGTAGGTAAGACAGCTTAGAGCTGCATTGTCCAATAAGATAACCATGAACCACATGTGGCTATTTAAGTGTAAATTATTAAATTTATTAAAATGAAAAATTCAGTTCCTCAGCTGCACCAGGCACGTTTTAAGTGCTCAGTGGCCATATGTGGCTGGTGCTACTGCACTGGACAGCCCAGATACTGGACGACTTCATCATCACAGGAAGAGTATTAGCAGTGCTGGTGGAATGTCATTAGTAGAGGCCTAAGTTTGGGGCTCCAATCTTTTAAAAGTGAAATTCCCGTGTAACCCTGAGGTACACTCCTAATTTTTAAAAATAGCCTTTTCAAGTCTCTCCCCTAACACTGTGGGAACTGAGTCAAGCAAGGTGGGGGGCCCACAGAGGTGGCCATCCCTTTGAGACAGACAGCCCAGCAGCAGTGGAGCTGTTAGCAACACAGACTTGGCGGTGGTATGTACACCAGTTGTTAGAACTGCAAAATGTATCTACCAGTTAATAAAGAGCTGCTGCTTCGAGCTCTGCTGTGTCCTTCCGGTGCCCCAGAGGTGCTGGCTATATGCCTAGGATTCCCCCAACTTCCTCTTAATCCAGCAAAATGAGGCAGCCAATGTCTGTCCCATCCCCTGGGGAGGAGGAGGGTGCGGGGTGCTGTGCAAGGACCCTGTCCCAGCACTGCAGGTCTCACACTGGTGGGTGCTGCCCTTCGCCTCCAGGAAGGCCTGCTTCCTAAGAGGCTTTGCTAGGGCTGCTTCCTCTCTGCCATGGCCAAGTCCCAGATCATAGAACCACAGCCCCAAGAAGACCTTAGCATCATCTTGCCCAACTCCTCTCATTTTACTGAAGAAAGAAGTCACACAGAGTTGCTCAGCTAGCTTGTGGCCAGTTCACAAATGTCTTGACTCTGCTTTTTTTTGCTCTGTCTTCGTCTCGTCAGTTTCCCGAACTGTGAAATGGGAATTAATATCTTTGTGCCGCACAAGAACCTTTAATTCTCACAAGAACCTGTGAAAGATGTTAGGCTCAGAGGCAGTGAATAGCCTGTGGAGGTAATAGAGCTACTGAGTGAGAGAGCTCTGCCCCTCTGAGGGCTGGGGAAGCTATAAACTCGTTTGTAAATGTAAGATACCATAACCACGTGGCATCACTAGTTTGGAGCTTGTGGTATTTTGCAGTTCAAGATTCAGTGCCATTGAAAGCGGTAACTCTGTTCAAGTAAAGCTTTCTTTTTTCTTTTTTTTTTGGCTTTGATACTGTGCCAGTTGCACAGGCTTTGGCTCAGTGTTGAAACAGAAGTGGGCTCCTTCGAAGTATATTTTTAAAATGAGAGAATCCAAATTTGTAATTAGCTTTAAAACTCTAGTTGTGCAGTTTGTGCATCTAAAGAACTTCTGGTTAATCAATTCTGTTACTGGTGGTGGTTTGTTCACCTTCCTCCCCCAAGCAATTAAGCCCTTTGAAAAAACAAAGTATGTTCTTTGAGGGGTCATTTCCTCTACTACCACTTTATTTTTCATACCCTTTATTCCTGGTGTATTTAGAAAATTAACCATATACCTAATGGCGGCAAGGAAAAATCATATAGAAGCCAGCCTACCCACTTGACGCCTAATTGTCATAGGAATGCTATATAAATTACACAGAGAAGCCACAGTGAAGGAAATGATACACTTCTTCATACATCTTTTATCTTTTGGTCTTTTGATAATTTTGATAGAAACGTCCCTTATTTTTAGATAAGATTGTGGGGAAGATCAGTTTAACTCACTACTAAAATAAAATAGCGTGTTTCTCTCTTGCTCTCTGAACTTCAGCCATTTAACAGTATATAGTATATTCTACTTTGCAGAAATTGAATTTATAGATAAGGAAAGAGTGGCATTATTTCATTTACCTATAAGAAAGAAATTTCTCTTCAATTTTCTTTTATTAACACATGAAAATTGTAGTGTTCTCTGCATCAATTATCCTGCAAGGTTAAATACATATGGAGAGAAAAGAGAAAGAAAAATGAATGGAAAAAGCTGTAGATGGAAATAACCTTGGGTTGGGAGCTCTCATTTAACATTACTAATTTGTAGGCATATTTAGGAAGAATGTGTTTGTATGTATGTTTGTTAAAGTAGGTATTATGTCGGTATCGTCACATCTTCTCTGTGTATACCCTGTTTTGTGTTGTATAACAAGACTCTCAATTATACTTAAAGCGATAACAGCCTCCCTCCTGTCAACATAGGACCTTCAAAGCGTTTACTATTTTCTAGAATTTTCTTTGATTTTATTTATGCCATTTTCCCTGTTTCATGGAGATGTTATAGGGGGCACTGTCAAAAATGCATAAAAGTAAAGTTTGTGATGTATAGCCACACTCGGAGTCATCACGATAATAAGACAATAGGCTTGAATAGAGCTTAAAAGTTCTAAACCTCAAATTCCTCCAGACTTATTATGGTAGAAAGGGTGTTGACAAGCAAGCACATAGTTTTAAACTTTGCAATATCAGTTTTTATACCAGTGCATTCAGCATTAAATGAAATGATGCATACAAGGCACCTGGCACCAGAGTTGACACATGGTAAACATTCAATGACGGTTAGCTGTTATTATTAGCTCGTCTAATAATTTTGATTTGATTTTGTCTTCACATCTCTTTCTGCTTTCTGATGGCCATGTTAAGGAGTGGGAAAATGTCCAAAAATTAGGAAAATGACAAAAGGAAGAGAAACACGAAGCCTCAGTAGTCTAGAAGCAGAAATTTTTAGCCCACAAATCAGCAGCTGATTCTTTTTCCTCTCATAGTGACAGGCGAGTTATTTCCAGCCTCCTTCATACCCTTTTCCAAGTTAAGACCCCATGGACCAGTGGCAGCTCTATTGCCCACACCTGACTCATCCTGGTCTAATGAGGTTCAGTGTGACAGCAAATTTATCTTAACAACGTTTCTCTCATGTTATGTGAAAAACATTTCTCATAAATGCAAGAAAAACAAAAAATCTCCTACGTATGGTTATCATGGATTAGAACTTTAAGATGCATGAGGTGCATGTGTATCATTTCTGTGCCCTTGTCGGAGCGAGAAATCAACCAGGCACTCACGCTGAGGCAGGGGTGTCAATCGGTACAGCTTTTCTGGAAAGTCATCCAGAACCTTCAAGTTCATACTATTTGACTCAAAAATTCTTTTTCGAGGAATCAAGAAAATGTTCAGGAATTCAGACAATCTGATACTCAGTGATATTCAGACATGTCCTCCCAAGTGTTATTTGCAAGAACAACAAGAAGAAAACAATATATAATTTTAAAAAAACAAAATAGATGAATAAAACCCTTTCCTGTGGGGTGTAATATTATATAGGCATTGAAAAGCATGTTTGTGATGAATTTTTAATAACTTGGGGGAAACGCTCACATTCATAAAACATTGAATGAAAGAGTAGAAACAAAACTCTCAGTATTTTTGAGTAACTGAAAAGAATACTGGTCCACAATCCTTTATCCCCAATTCTGAATCCAAAAGGTTTTTTGGTAACTTCTTGTAGAAAAACCTGGCATGAACTAACATGAAGCTCTCATTTATGTAACTTAATAAGAATATGCATCTATTTTGCTCCAGAAAAATCTAGCATGTTTGATTATAGAGTAGGGCTCCAGACTCTGATGAAATATTATGTGATGAATGGTAGTTGCATCGTAATACTCTCTAAAATCCAAATAATTCTGAATTCTGAGAAGTATTCTGAAGCCCAGGAGTTTTAGTTATAGGGCTGTGGGCATAGCCAACCAAATACCGTCAATGTTTTATCTGTGTTGAAGTTACAATTGACCTTTATTTTTTTCTTTATGCTGTCTCATATTTTCCAGGTATTCTGCAATAAGCATGTATTAATTTATCATCACAGAAACATTAACTTAAAAATAAACCTATTTGAGGCATCAGAGAATGATCTCGTGTCAGTCAGCATTCTCCAGTTTATCTATCATGTGCTTCTGTGTCTTGTTACTACAGCCACGCGTGTCTTTTCACCAAGGTGTTCTGGTTTGTTGAACGAAATCCTTCATGAGATGAAATAGGTAATGGATGGAACATTGACCTGGCTGTTTCCAAACTGCTTTTGAGTCAAGAGAGCCTCCCAGGGAAGGATGCTCACTTTAAAGAAATCCTCACAGAATAGGGCTTCCAACTGCGTTGAGCCCAGGCATAAATACCAGGACTATTTGATCACATTCTGTTTTGTAGACCTGTGAAGAGCCAGAGGTGTAGCAGGTCACAAAAGCAGGGAGTGGAGTGTAGAATGACGGCTGGCAGAGGGGGAAACCTTACCATGGAGGTTTTCTCTGCTAACAGACACGTCTTCCTCCCCAATCAGGTGGACACTCCCTGACCTGTCACGAGGTTGCCCAGCAAAACTTTGGGGTCCATGTCTGAATGGATTGCTGCAGCCATCTCATCTCTCCCTTTGCCCAGTTCCCTGCATCCTAAGACTCAAAGCCAGCACAGGACCTGAAAAAATTACATGTAAGTTTTGACTTTTTCTTTCCTCAAACCAAACAATGGTAAGGCTTTTCTTAGGTGATATTTACAAAGAGCCTAAATGCACATGAGTTACTTTGAACAAAATATCTTGAGAATTATAACTGAGGAAGAGAAACAAGGTTACAGTCTATATATCGGTGGTTCCTGAACTCAGTGGATCTTAAACTTCAGTTCGCATCAGAGTCACCTGTGGGGCTTAGTAAAGGATGCCTTGCCGGCCCTCATGCCCAGCATTTATGATTCAGTAGATCTGGGGCGACCTGGGATTTACCCCACTTGGAGAATTGCTGCCGTGCAGAAGAACTAACTAGTGTTTGGCAGGAACGCAGTGGGCTATGAGGGTGGAGGGAGAATAGATGACTGGGTTCCCTGCACCTTCCACAGGCCTGATGCTTCCACTGGCGCCCTTGGGCGAGGGTGAGGGATCTGCAGACCGTTATACCGCAGTCTTAGGAGTGGGTCTCCTTTCAGGGCAAGGGCACACTTGTCAGAAGCTACCAAGGAGGATTGCCATAAGCAACTGTAATCTCTATCAGATGCCATTTATATATACAAGGAAACTGTTTCACAGCGATGAGGGAACCGTGTACCCACTTGTGCTCCTGTAGGATGGCTGTTGTAGTTCAACTGAACTGTGTGTTCATAAACAAGTCCCCGTACAGTGCACCAGATGCACAGTTACAGAGCCATGTACATAGTTGTGGGTCATCATGGGCCTTAATCAGTGGAAGTGGACATAGAGGCAGGAAGCAGGGAATACAGACATGATAATGTTATAGCCACAAATTGAAGTCTCATAGAAAAAAGGAAAATTTGAAAGAAAATTAATAGCAAATAGTTCTCTTGGCAACAGGGTCTCGACATATAATGATGCATGTTTTACATACTCCAAATGAAGTATAATTTTCCCATCACCTGACCCCTGTAGTCTTGGGCATCACCATACCCATAAAATCACAGAACAAGTTAGTGGGTGACCTGCAGCCCATGAGGAATATGCAGGATTGAACCCATTAGGCTGGTCCATCTGGGCCCTAATTTTCTGGGACTTTGCTTTTTATCTGTGTTTCTAGAAAGCGGCCTTGGAGAACAACTAGCGAATTCTCCTGGGGGCCTAGGAGCCATGTTTCTTCCAGGTATTTACTACTTGCAGGCGCTGCCCCTGAGTCTGACCAGAGGTTGTAATCCCTAAAGAGCAGTGCTCAAGGATCCATAGTTTCAAAGAGCTCAGAAACTTCTGTCTTAAATTACCCTACTTCTTCCTTAAGACATGAAGATTATTTATATATGTCTGTACATGTGTGCACATTATATACATACACATACATACATATATATGTATGCATTTAGCTTAAGGAAAAGGTATAACCAAAAACGAGATAAAATAAAGTCGTCAAAGCACAATAGACATTCATCAGCCCCTTCATTCCCACCCCAGGCTTTCCAAACCTGTTTAGAAATGAACTGCATGCTCTTCACTTAGGTGACAGAGAACAGGGCAAACCAGCAAAGGTTTGAGAGTCAGTTACCATAGGGAGCCGCCACGATATCAGAAAGCTGGAACGAAAGGCTTTTGTAGAAAGAAAATCCAGATCAGCAAGTCTAAGGGAGAGAAGAGTATTTATTCATCCTTGACATGCACACGGCGCTACCAGCATCCCAAGCTTGAGTTGAAATGACGTGGATGTAGAATCTGATCAAAATTATTTCAGCCCTATGAGTTCAGAGACCGTAAGTTTTGGTTGGACACTGACCCAGGCTTCCCCAGAGAAGACCCGCAGTCACTGAAATGGAATGACATGAGGCAGAGGATACCAGCGAAGAAGACCGAGGCTCCCCATCTCAGCTGCCCCGTTTCCTGAGAACTGAGGTGCCTGGTTCCAGAATTCATATTCAGTGAATGGCTTAGCTACCTGGAACCCAGCTAACCAGAACTCTGACCTTAGCCCTTCTCCCCCCTCCCCACCTCCCCCACACCACACCCTACCGCACACATCCCACTTCCCTTTTTCAGAGATAAAGATTCAGAAAACAAGCTAGTTTTGGTTTTGTGAAGGTATAGAATATACCCTGGAGGATATTTGTAGCTGATGACATTGACCTGCTGAATCACTGAGAATAGCTAAACGTCTTATAATTAGGAAAAGAAACTGCTTTGGAAAAATCTGCAGCAAAAAGCATTTTCTAGCTGTCTGTCAATTAACCAGAACATTGAAACAACAAAATCCTCTTTTCCTGAAATAGTCTGGTTAACATGTTTTATTGTACCTATTTTCATGCTTTATGATAATCTAAAAATACTGACTTATAAGAGAAAAGTATTCCTTTCATTTTTATTATTCTTGAGAAGCTGCAAGTTTCAGCTTTTACCACCTGTCCAGTGCCAGAATTTGAAAATCAGATATTCTGTTTATGTTTATTATGTTTGAAAGGAAGTACTCTTAAAGTTGTAATGTTAATGAAATTAAGAGTAATATATAACATAATTTCTTGAACATATATATTTAGCCCCTGTAGTTATTGGGGAGCCGTTGGCATAATTTTGAAGCCAATTCTTTTGGGGTTTTCTTCTTAAGAATGTGTGATGTTATTTGTAACATTCAGTGTCACAATTATGTTCTGCTCAAGACAGCATCAGAATTAAGTTTCATTCTCTGTGTATACACGAATGGTACAGAGAGGGTGATGGTACCAGCCTGGTAATATACATTAATATATAAATCAGAAGTTTCCGATGGTATTCCCTGTGATCTCCAAGTCACCTCAGCCATGCATATTGTAAAATACTTGCCAAGTGGTATCAGTTGTAGCACAAATAGTTTCTCAACTTTTTTTAGTCATTTCCAATCTGTTGTTTTTTAGAAATTATTTATGTGCTTATTTTTGGATGCACCTGTCACCAACAAAGTGACAGGGGATGGCACCCCACTCTGCAAGAGACACCCCCATTAAAGTGATTGTTGTGAGGGTCCTGGTGCCTGAGGTTTGTAACAGCTGGAGAATGCCCAGGCCACGGGTCACGGTGAGGAAGAGCCGCAGCTGCAAAACTGCCATGTAGCAGAATTTAAATTTAAAGTCCTTGTAGTGCCTAACTATAGAAGCTATAACCTGTTGTTTATGGCAGATTTTTCCTGAATTTCATGTTTGATTTGTCACCAGGCCAGATTATTATCCTGGGTCCCATGTACTAACTGTTCTTAATTACTAGAAAGACCAGAACTGGAGAATGATTGTCTCCTTTTATCAAAACAGAGGAAGCTTTATTTTCCTGAATGTAAAGTAATACATGTTTAGTGTACATAAGTTATCAAGTAACTCAATAGAATGAAGAAGAAAGTAAGTTACCTATAATCCAACTACAGAGATACAGCCTCCCTGAGAACTCATACTTTTGTGTCTTCTTCCAGACTTTTTCTAATTAATCAACTAATCCCAAATATACAAGCAGAACTCTAGCCTGATTACATCCCACAAACTACTGGTGCTTAGAAATGATGAGTCTAGATAACATTTTCTAGGACAATCATCTCCTTGTTGCTTATTTTTCTCCAGTCAGATTACATTAATCAACTCTTACAAGAACAGGTATTTGTGTAGACCTCCCAGTATCTTTATCAAGTGGAAATCACCATTAACTGTTTTTTTTCATTTCTGCATTCTGTCAGTAAAAATGATTATTGAATGGCCCTGCAAGATCCTAGTGGGCCTCTGGAATCAAAAGAAAGATTTAATTGCGTACAAGATAGTTTTAATGTTAGGCCAACTAATGGTGTTCTAGTTATTTGCACATTTCATAATCAATATGCTATAAAGCAATTTGCCGGGACTAGGACAGGTCGATGAGTCAGATTCCCCCATTTTCCATCCATAATCCAAACACCAATGACTTCGGTAAAATTCGGATTTTATACCTGATGGTAAACAAAATAGAATTCAAATACATCACGTGAACCAGAGGTGTCCTTCACCTTTGCCCCCTTTATCCACCTTTGAAGAAGCTTCTCTTTGATTGCCCCTGGTGTGGGAAATCTCTCCTGGGATGGTGCTGCTATCTCTGTGCTTCCCTCCGGAGGGTGCCAGGACTTTGGATAAGGATGAATCTTAACACTTAGCCAAGGTTAGGAAGGAGTTTGAGCACTGAAAGAAAACCCAGGTAAGAATTAAGGGGATCGTTGAAGGATTCATCTGAGAAACGTTGTAGGATGATCATCCAAAAACCTTATGTCAGTAGAAGAAAAAATACATAGTAAGCAGCTGCTAGTGAGAGTTTGTTTGTAGCAGTGATCTATACTTGGCATTGGGTCTGAGGAGGTCTTTTCCCCTGTACAAGACTTAGATTCTTTGAAAGCAGGTCCTTCTAGGTTCTTCTCTCTGCATCTCTTCACATCCTTTGTGTCCTTGTGTATAGTAGGTACTTGGTCTGTACTGACTTGAATTCCTATTTCTGTGACTCTTGAGTGACACGTGAGTGAATGTGCTCAATTCAGGTACTGCATTTTGCCGTGTTCCAAAAGCAGTCAAAGGGTGGTTTGATAAGTATCTGTGATGATGTTGGACGCCTGGGTTGGGTACAGGTGTGGGGAAGTGGTATACAGTACTTTGATCCTCCCTTGGAGAAGGAGATGCTACTGTGGATAATGAGAACCTGGTTCTTTGTCTTCAGTTTCGGTTTGACCGCTTACTTCACTGAGTCACAGCTCTCTCTCTTTTCGGTGATGGGCATGTATGTCATTTCAGCCTGAGACTGTCCCTTGGACTGTTTATGACACTGTGTCTGAATTTCCCATTGCACTAACAGGCAGCATTTATCATAAAAATTTTTAAGAACACGCTAGAAGTTACTGGCTTGTCGTTGACATGGAGATTAACTTTCTCTAACCTAAACCAGTGAAAACTAAAACACTCCTCACCACATAAAAGTTTTGCTTTCGCTGCGCTCAGACCCCTCCCACCTTGTCACAGCACAGTCATTTGGAGTCTGG